TGAAGCATACTTCTTTCAAAAGAAATTCTACGATTGGTGCACTGCCATGGAGAAAGCAATATTCATATTGGAAGCCAAACTACCTTTGAGACTGCAAGCAGAATATCCCCAACTGATCCTTGTGGACATATTGAATGATACTAGTAATATTTCATTCTTGACTTCCAAACAACCTGTTTACAGACTACAGTTAATCTCTTAAATTAAGCCCAGCAGCTCAGAGATAGCCTAGACAGCATGTTCAACAGGTATTAAGCCAGGTATTTCATCACTTAGCCATCCAACAATCAGGAAACTCCATGTGTACTTTTAATGTTCTCTAGGCTATCTTCAGGAGTGCACAGTACCATATAGAGATAATTATAAGTACTGTATGTTAAATATATAACTTATAGATGTTCATATAGAGTCAGAACAAAAAAAGAATCACAAAAGATATCCAGATTCCAAATTGTTAAGAACATTAAAGGCTAATAACCAACATTTTGAATTGAGTCTGAAAAGTAATTGATAATCTATATAGATCTTGAAGTATTACAGTGATAAGATCACAGTAGCGTATGTTCAAGTCAGCCACATAATTCCATTACATTTCATTAAATGAAGCTTCCAAAGATTCTTCTTTAGATTGTACTGTATTAGTATGAACAAGATGTAACAATAATGGGGGTAACTGTGTTCAAATTAAACAAAATATATAGTTGGCACTAAACGAAATTATAAAAACATCATTTACTTTTATTAATTATACCAGCAATAAAATAAATCAGAAAAATAAAAAGGACTTTCAACCTATGTACTTGATCTTTCAAATAGAAAAGGCCTTTCCAAGGTAGGTTGAATCTGGATTCCTGACATAATTTTTCTGTTAATTTCAATCTTACCTGAATTTAGTCTCAGTTTATGCATTTTTAATTACCTATTATTCCTAGAGTTACCTGACAAGGCAATATTGCTGAGGCTTGTCAACATTCTAGTGGTATCTCATTGAAAATATTCTTCTGGGGTGTTTCATGTGGTATAAATAGAGCATATTATAAAATAATTTTCTGAGAACAGAAGGGGAGGAGGAGGAGGAAGAGGAGGAAAAGAGAAGAACCATTGAAATAATTTCTCAGAAAAGTAAATATGTATCATTAACAACAACAAACCCCCAACATATATCTGCATGTAACTGGGGCCATGCAGATCTGACTTTCTGAAATCATTTTGTTCCTAGCTTGGCTATTCCAATATGGCTATTCTGGTAAAGTGGTAAAGCTGTTTTCAGTAAACTAATTCTTTCTTTTTGTAAGTGGTATTCCAAGCAAAAGAAAGAAGTATGCTTTGTGGTTGGACCACACAAATCTAAACATATCACTTCAATATCACCCTCAGCTACTCAATAAATAGGAGGTTGACTTAATAAGCTAAAGAGAGAAAAAATGCTTCAGGGTGTTTTCATGTCAGCTCTTTCAATAGTCCACAAATTAGTCAGGACTTTAAAAGAAAAACTGACTAAGGAGACAGAAAAATCACCAAGTTTATTTAGAAAATTATTCAAATCCATAAATCCTTATCAAAATAAGTACCTCCCATTGAAGCCAATAAATCTTGAAAAATAAAAGAATCCGAATCATAGGACAGACATTTTAGGAAAGCCACCAGGCTTGCAGAGATTCATGGGAACACCCAGCCTATTTTGACAAAATCAAAGTAACAGGATTACATAAAGTTCCTCTGCTCTCAGATCATCAATTCTACTCACTCAAAATATCCATATAGTAAACTTATCTGTTTGAGAAGTCTAGGCCAGCTGAATATTGCCCCTAAGACAAGTCAAGCTATGTCGAGGGAAAAATACTGTTAAGCAATGGGATGGAACACACTCTCTGCATGGTCCTAGCAGAAGTGTTGAAAAAGATGGAGTAACTAGCAGTAACATTCTCATTCAGAATTAACTCCTGGATTAAATATCTGACTTGGCATTAAAACAATGGGTGCATTAGGTTAGATAGTACTACTTGTATTTCATGGTAGTAATTCATGGATAGTACTACCCATGAAGAAGCAAGGGAAAATATTGTGGTTGATTCAGATTATGTTGGTTTTCTGATTTACTGATATCAAAGGGTGATATTCATGTCAACCTGAGTCTAAACAAGAGGCCTCCTTCTGGGGCATTATTTGAGAATGTTGATGGCCCTTTTGAATTTCAAGATCTTCGGGCTACAGCTATTATGTGCAGTAGGTTTATGACAACTGAATTTTCTGAAGCATAACTGGGTAAATTTTGCTCTTCCTTCTAATAAAAACACATTCTCATTGTACTGTGTTGATTATATCTGTCTGCATCTATTATGTACAATACATGGTGCACTGATGGTTCAATGTGATTGATTATCTTCAATAAAATGTTTATGAGACAAGGAGAATTAATGCAGTCAAATAGTATGATTCTATAATACATGATGTGCACATAACAGCTACACTACACACCAACAAGTATAAACCTTCTACTGACTTAAAATTTTAAAAACAGCCCATAATTTATTTTTTTAATTTTGCTCCAGGGAAATTTTTGCATTCCTCCACCCCCTGACTTAATGTTTTATTAAATATTTTATTCATGCTTAATAATGCAATACTTTTGTGTAAATTGTTTTATGAGATTCATCAAAAGTACAGTATGCATAGCCTACGGTAATTTGTTGTCGGCTGACATAGCAATAAAAATACAGTTTCTCATATTGATGTTGCAAAGTTGCCATCAATGCTGATACTGCTTCATGTTCCTCTATTTAGTGTTGAAAATACTGAACTAAAATGGGGAGATCCAGGTTTGATTCCCCATTAGGTATATATACTTTATACTGGATCAGTCAGAATCTCCAGTCTACGGGGGAATTCTTACTTCAGAGTTATTGTGAAGTTTTTTTAAAAAAGGAATAGAAGAATGCACATCATCTTGATCTCCTGGAGGAAATATATTGAACAGTAGGAAGAACAGGACAGGAGCGAGTTGCATTCAAAACACATACACATGAACTTCACCACAGCAATAGCGCCCCCTAGCTTGAATTGGTGCAAAATTTTTGCTAGCACCCTGGAATCTAAGACTGCTACGCACATAAACAGAAATTATGTGGAAAATCTGTGGCTAAATAAAAATACTAGATTTATTTATCATTGTCCAAGCTAGAATTTCTGGCTATATGCGTCTAACAAGCAAACAATAAGGAGCCAAAAACATATTTCGCATTGTATTATGGTTTATTAGTTGGGAATTTCAGTTCTGATACAACTGTAAACCAAAAAAAGTTGCAAAGATTTTAGGTTATTTTAATTGCTTCCAGGGCCATAAAAAGTCAATGAAGGCAATGAAAGCTATTTGAAAGTAATAAGCCAGAATTCAAAGCAATTTCATTTTTAAATGTAAAACAGATATACAGTTATCTATGTTTTCTTGGTTAAAATGAGTTTACATCGTATGATTAATTAAAAATAAGCTCCTTTATAAACCCCACTCATCTCATCAATAAAGCCTAGATCATCATTAAGTTTTAAGTGATCAGGAAGTTTCCAATACATAATACTGCATGTGAATATATTCGCACAACAATTACCTCTAAAGGTACTGGGTAAAATATGTCTGCCCTCAAAATAATGAAATCTGCAGTATATTATGCTGCATTGAATACATGTGATGCATTATCTGATCAGGTAAAAGCAATTCCCCTATGAGTGGATTACTTCTAAAGTATTGCTTGGGAGAAAAATATTAATGAAAGGTATCTGAAAGATAAGGTGAATAAAGAAATGGAAATAAAGTAGATTAGTGTGCGACTATAAAACTCGAGTGGTTAACAATGAATTAGACTGCTTTTCATTAATCAAAGCCTCAAGAACCAGAAACATGTGTTATTTAATTCTCAATTATTTAATTATTATTAAAAGGTTAGTATTTTTTTTTATAATTCACTTTTTAACTTTACAGGAATTTTAGATTCTCTGTCATGAATCTGAGGTCCTTTCTACTTTCATAGTTCTCAGGTATAGTTCTAGAGTATAAAATGTCATGCCAGTAGACATTTTATACTCTACCTCCTGCTCTAGTTGCTATTCAGGTTTTTATTTGACAGTAACATTTTTACACTACAGCTCGGTGACAGACAGGATGCAGGCTCTCAGATGACAATATGGGTAAGAGTGCCAAATGTCCTAAATAGAATTGCCACTTTCTTTTTCAGCATCTTGGATAGGACACAATTTATATCAATCATCACATTCTGTTTCCGATCACCAAAAAACAAGTGGCAAAGAGATTGTTTCTTAATCAACCAAATATTCAGTTCATGCAGTCTCTGTACCTACACCGCAAAGGTTCTTTGCAATAAATACTGTATATTTAGAAATCATCTCTGAGCTCTCAAAATATGCAAGTAGATAATGGAAACAGCAGAACTGAGAGAAATGCATGTAAATAGCAAAGTAAAGTGACATTTTCAAATAGCAGAAAATTAATTATCTGTTAATGGCTTTACTGAAAAAAGGTGGGGACTCATACAAAGAACAACAAAAAAAAAAAAAACCACCACCATTTATTACTGCTTGGTAATAAATTAATCTTCCTGAGAATTTGTTTTACAGAAAATAGTTTCATTGTGGGTCTGCCATTCTCAATAGACAGGTGCATTATGTACTGTTTGGAAACAAAATAAATGCAGTACCTATTTTATTTTCTAGTCACAGTTGGTTATTAATGTGAATTTCTCTTTTTTGGTCTTCAACATTTATTAGATACCCTTGTCCATAACACTTCAAGCTAATGCTTAACATAAGAAATAACTATATTACATGTTGTTCCATACTAATTAAATGAGATTCCACAATTTCAAAATTTAAGAAACTACAGCAGAACGCTGTGTACCATTAAGGGGTAAATAAACAAACCAACCAACAAACAAATAAAGGCAGAAATTGTATTGATTTTCTATCTAATTTAGTTATCGTATACATACCTGAGCAGCCTACAAAAACTTCTTCCATAGCTGAGCCTCTGACTAGCTGCAGCCACGCTGGGTGGAAATGGAGGTCGTGATGGAAAGTAAGCTAGTGCTGCAGAGAATATCACAGCCACAATGCCAAATTCTATGGGGACACAATTAAAGAAATCAGAGGGAAAAAATGGATTATAATAAAATATACATACATTGCCCCAAAATGTTGCCAACCTGTTTTAAAATGCTATGGGAACAACAGAGAATATGATCTGGAAAGCAGCTTACTAGATCCATGGAATGATCCTACAAATATTGTCTGATTGCAATCCCCATTCACTAAACTATAACAATAGCAATAGCACTATAAATTTGACAATCAGCATTTTATATGAGACACTCATAAACAATAGCAATAGCTCTTTGACTTCACAGTGTTTTACAGCCCTCTGTAAGTGGTTTACAGAGTCAGCATTTTGCTCCCTACAATCTGGGTCCTCATTTTATCCACCTCGTAAGGATGGAAAGCTGAGTCCACCTTGAGCCTAGTGAGATTTGAACTGCCAAATTGCAGACAGCCGGCAATCAGCAGTAGTAGCCTGCAGTATTGCACTCTAACCACTACACCATTATGACTCAACAATCATTGTAGGGCTCATTACCTATCCTTTCAATAAACAATAGCAGTAACTCGCATTCATCACAGAAATGGAATAAAATGGCAAAGATATACACTGAAGTTAAGTACAACATTTTCGTTTAAAAGGGTCAATATATACATTAAGAATTAATAGCAAACTAAAGCTACAAATTCAAATAACAGAAAATTAATAATAAGTTAATGGTGTAACTGAAGAAAGCAACAGGCTTTTGTTAAGGGACTGAAATGAATGAGGAAATAAAAACACTTTAAGGAAAAGGAAATATAAAAGACCTCCATGAGTTTTTCCTAAAAGAAAACTGCAGTTACGCTATGCAAATCAACACTGAGATATATTTTTGTCATGCTATTAAATATAAGGAAAGTTAAGCTGCAATGAGATTGTCATACTTTAATTTCAAATGAAAGGAATGAGCAACATATATCAGCCAGCAAAAATAAACAGTACAATAATTTTTTTTGATTTATCAAATACTTGGTTTAGCAGACTTAAAATGGAAAGACAAAATCTGCTATATATGTTGTACAAAAATCCTATTCCCATTTTATAAATGCATAGAATATGTAAAATGCACAAAAACCAATTTGGATTAACAGACATTCTGCCTTAACAGAACCCCTTTCCCTCACTATTAGGTGTTTAATATCTGTTAAATTGAAAATCTATTGGATTATGTAAAGAAAATTAACTTTTGAACACAAATAAATAATAAAAGAAACACCCACATAGAATTCAAACAGATAATGAGTCTACTGAAATACATCACTGTGCATATAGTTTGATTTTCTAAATATAATGGTACAAACCATCTGGATGCTTCAGAGAAATGTTTAAGCATCCAGATGTTCTTAAATTCAACTTCCATTGACCATGCTGTGCTTGGGAACTGTAGTTAAACAATATCCGGAAGGCTACTTCACTCTTACTTCAAATGAAATCTATGTAACAGAAAACCAACTACAAAAATATTTCTCTTTTCCTTGAAAGCTATATCGACCTATTTATTTTAGAGAAGAGTTGAAGCCTTCACTCGTCCTCTAAGAGATCTCCAATGAAGCTTCTATAACCCATAATCGACAGAATCAGATGAGACAAAATATACATGAAGTTGAAATAACTTTAGTAAAAACCTTACACTGATTTACAATATAAAAACACCCACATAATTTTATATGAGGACTGTATTTTATTGATGTCTGAAAAGCAGAGCTGGCAGTGAAATACCAAAAAAAGAATAGGAATGTCAGTTCTATTTAAATACAACCACATACTAGTGGAAAAATGTTTGACAAGTGAATTGAATAGGTACGGTTGGTCACATTCAAGAAGATAACATTTATAGCTAGGGTTTGGTATTTTAATATAAAAAGCAAGTAATTCTATTATCTCTATTCTCATTTTTTGCCAGATACATCACTAGAGGGCAGTAGCAAACCCGTAACAGATGTACACAATGCAGTAAAGTATAAGATTATTTATTAGTTACCTGCAAACAATACAGCCTCAATGCGGTCTTTTATGTACTCAGGACTATTTCCAAACACAGGTGGAACTGTTGATGTGCTATTTGGCCCTGGAACTACCAAAGGTCCTACTAAAAACGCACATGCTGCACCCAGGTAACTGATCAACGATGCAATAGCTGTGGCAGTGGCACGCTCATCTGGTGAAAACCATGTAGTAGAAAGAAGTGGAGAAGCGCTTGTTACAGTTGGGCCTGCCAATCCATTTAACAGATGTCCTCCATGTATTAGCCTGGAGACAAAGCAAAAGTGAGAGACATACAGGCTGAATTGCCATACACAAACTCCTAACAGTGTTATAAAAATCTATAGGAAAACAGTTCAATTGACATCTTTATGCTGGGTTTAAATGAAGATTTGACATATGAGCTTCAAAGGGTGGTTTCAAAAATTGGCATGAAGACAAGGATTAAAGTCAGCAGCCTCTTCAGGAAGTGTATGCCATCATTTTGCTGATGTTGTAGGCACTAACCAATAAAATAAAACTTCCTCCTTTGTATTATTAATCTTGTTAGGATTTCATGCGAGGATCCAGAATTTTCAATATTTGCTATCAAGTGGATCATATTACCTGCCCCCCCCCCCCCAAGTAAAGACTAGTATTCAGTCATTATTTATCAGAGAAACCTATTAAGAAATAGTCTCAAAAACTGCCACTCACGTTGGGGTAATAGAAAGAACACTGGTACTATATTGTATATTTGAATAAGAATATCTACATCTGATGAATATGTGAGGCATATTCATTTTTATGCATGTGTTAACTTTAATTTTCACTTACATTGTATATCAAGCAAATGAGAATTGAATTATGTAAAGCCAAAACATTGCATATAGACTTCAAGACTTTGATAAAAACAGTCAACAGCAAATGCTAGTGCAGAACACTGAAACACTTCTTCATTTTTGCAATATTAGTAATAATGCTTCATAACGCATTTTTGCAACATACACAAAAGGGATCTTAAAAAGGGGTGGGAGGGAAAATCACATCACACTCTTGTTTTCAAAAGTAAAAAAAGACAAGCAATCAATAAAGAACAAAAAGAATTAAAGAAATCTGCAAATCTTCCAGACCAAGAAACCTCAAACCAATGAAACTGACTAAACTATGTAACTGCTTAGTCTGATAATCATCATGTTGGGGTCTGAATGCAGTAATATGCCCTCTCTCTCTCTCTCTCTCTCTCTCTCTCCATTGCACGAAGCAGAACTAAGGACAACTAAGTGGACAGGAAAAACAACAACTGAAGCATCTAAAGTGGAAGTCCTGTTGCTTTTGATACATAGCTCTTGTCAGAACTCCAAGTATTCTTGCTGGGCATGTGCACATAGACTCAAGACAAACAAACAATCCCAGCACTATTTAATTTAAATCAGTACAAAAAGTCTTTGACTTATGACAATTAAGCCCCAAATTTATATTATTAAGCGAGATAGTTGTTAAGTGAGTTTTGTCCCATGTTTTGCACTTTCTTGCCATAGTTGTTAAGTGAGTCACTGCAATTGTTAAGCTAGCAACATGGTTGTTAAATGAATCTGGCTTCCCTATTGACTTTGCTTGTCAGAAGGTTACAGAAATGGTCCTGGGACACTGCAACTGTGACAGATATGAAACAATTGCCAAGTGACCATGGGGATGCTGTGTACAGTCATAAGTGTGAAAAAAGGTCATGTCCTTTTTTTTAGTGCGGTTGGAACTTCAGACAGTCTGTAAATAAATGGTTGTAGTGTATTTCAGTACAAATGGTATAAACGGACTATCTGTATTTCATACAGCAATACTGCAGGCTCTTCCAATTTCATAAAGGTCCTGAATTTTTTTTTAAAGAACTTTATGTGATGAGACTCTAAAGTCACTTGAGTAGGAGTTGGTTCTAAAATGTAGTAGTTCAATGCAAGGCGGCTTACAATGTCAGCTGGCCATTCTGACATGTGGGAAAACTAAGGTCTGGTTGCAGGATCAGACCAAGGACATAGAAGCATGACTTTCCAATCAAACTGTTCAAATAAATAACTATGGGTTTTGAATAATGTGATGATCAGTTACTCTCTAGTAAAATCTTGGACTGTTCTGGGATTGTTGAATACAACAGAGGAAAATCTCTTGGCTTTGGCTTTTCAGTTCATGCCTGGAAGTTGCATTGTAAGAGACCCCAGGTCAGGTGGCTTTAAAAGGAAAGAATACATACATAAATTATTGCCCCATGTGATGGTATCAGATATTCAGGATGGCAACACATGTGCTTTTTACATGGGAACTGAATGACTGGTTTTCCTGTTTTCCTTCAGAGACAGAATATAGTATTAATAGGTTCTTACTGTCACTACATGTCAGTGTTAGTTTTTAGTGCCAGTTCTCGATAGTCCTGTTGCATGAAATTTACAGTTTATTATCTGGTACTATTGATACTAAATTTTACAATTATCTATTCTGCAGTACTTCAAACCTTGATTTTCTGATGTTCCTTTTCTGAGTAGTTTACAGAACTAGGTGCTCTTGGTTACTTCAGTCTGCAGTATCTCACTGAACTCTTATCTTTTATTCATTTATCAATTGAAGATGGGAGTCCATTTAGACCAGTAGCCTCAAGCAAGGAAGAAATAATGCTGGGGATTGGATAAGCTTAGCACAGGGTAGAAGAGATTCAATTTATAGTTATTTCTTTTCCAGGTTCTTTCCATAAACAGAGAATTTTGCATTATACCTACCATCAGACCTATCCATTTCTTATTTTTTACTGCTTTTTATGCATTCCAAATGTTTCATATTTGTGGGACAGACACTGTGAAATACTGTCTAGATAAAATCTCTTTACCATGCATTTGAATCAATTTCACTGATTTGTGAACTCTGAATTAAACTACTTTCCGCTTGGGGGTAAGATCATTTACCTTATCTTCTTAGAGACAAAATGAAAGAATATATTCAAAATATAGTTTTACAGCAATCTATTACTAATGGGAGAGACAAATTTGCCATGGCTAATATAGCTGACAGAAATATGAATCCAACAGGACTTGTACAGATTTTGCCATCTGTGGCTTATCTTCACTATAGCTGATTTCAACCTGAAAAGCTATCATAAGTTTTTCATATAGTCCATCACTCACTCCAAAAACTGCTTTATGATTAGAAATATTTATTACTGTTATTCCTCCTCCCCTTGTTTATGTTGTCCAAAAGAGCAAAAAGTGACTGCATTTTTCTTCAGATTTCACACTGCAATTTAAATTTGAGTCAGAAATGTTAAATGCCTTGTATGTGAAATATGAAGATTGAAATACAATTTTGTTCTCTATCTGCCCCAAAAGGGGGAAAAAGGCCTTTTAAAATATGGTCAAACTAAGAGTAGCATTTTGATAAATTCCTGTACCCTGGGCTCTGCTCTTAGGTTTGTATGCGATTTTTCCAATTTTCATTTAATTATTTTTAGATCTCAAGCAATGTGGGGAGTAGCGAGAGTTCAAGACTAGGGTTTTCATAATATGCTTGAGGGCAAAATCATGGAAGAAAATATGAGGCCATTTCAACAGTTATGAAATAATCAATTATTTAACCTTTCCCTTGAGACAGAGGCTCTTACTTTATTTTAGTAAGTTTAGTATTCATACCAAAGCCCTTTATTTAGCATCCATTTTGCATTAACTTTACTTTTAGTTATTAAACTGGAAAAACAAGATTAGCTTCAAAGAGCTGAAGTGAACTGTGTATGAATACATCACATCCTTTGAGCTACATAAATCATCATTGTATTTCATCAAGTCCAAAGTCAATTTGTCAAGAGGCATGGGGTGGACGCTAGGTAGTAATTACACACTAATATTTGTGCTAATATTTCCTGTTAGCAATGCAGAGTTTTTTATGTGCTGGCCAAGGCAAGATGAAACATCTACTTAGTCTTTGGGACAGAAAGGGAAGAAAGATGACTGAATCAACACAGTTTTTTTATTTTAAAATCTAACAAAAATAGTATACCAATTGGCCAGGCTGAGTGGATTATATTCGCTTTCTAAAATACATGATATTGTTGAAAATCTTTTTTTTAAAAAAAAAAAAACAGTAACACATGCACAAACACAAACACTCAGACACATAGTAGCCACATGGTAATTCCAGAATATTAGATTATTTATTAATAATCAATAACTATTATTAATTATTGCAAGACCTTTGAATTGTTCAGAAATGAAGGAATGTAAAAGAGGTCTTTCAGCTGAACTCCTTTGTATATTTCAGAAAAATAATGAAACTAACATCACTCTTTATTGCATTCCCTCCCTTCTCCTCCCCCTCGAGAATGATATACCAGCTGTTTCATTGTAGCTCACTACTTGGGGACAAAATCCCCAAATTTGCCCTGCAAAAGGATTGAAATTTACCCTGCAGGGAAAATGTTTTCCATTGCATAATGAACAAACTTTGGTGTAAAAATGTTGGCTTGGCACTACATTAAATTCAGCTGATGTTTTTATTTGTATATTTGATTTAGGCACCGCCTGTCTCCAGTTTAACTCTGGGCTGCTCAGGATATAATATTAAAAGAGACAAATGAATATACAATCTTATAGAAAATATTAAAATAGGGTGGCATATCCAGTCAACCATACCAAAATATATCACACAGTCAGCAAGGGGCTCTAACCACCCTAGTTGCAGAGAAGAATCAGATCTTTTAACACCTTCCAGTATGCCCTCAGGGCGGAAGTCCCCCTGCATCTCAGGGAGAACTTCATTCCAGAGGTCAGGCATCACGGAAGAGAAGGCTGGCTTTCTGAATCCCTCACAATGACCCTGTTTAATTGAAGGGACCTGAAGTGAGAGTTTGTTTAGCTATTTTCAATTCTGTATGAACAAAGAAGACTCCAGGAATAGAGTCTATACCAGTCAAAAATCCTTTAAAAAAAAACTTTTGTGAACTTAGTGCTTTATATTGTATTAGTTAAGTTTATTTCTGTCTGAAGATGAATTGAAAACAATCCTCCTTCCATTTCTCCTCATAGCAACAACCCTATAAGGTAAATTGGATTCACTGCTCCATTGTCACTCAGTGTATTTCTATGACTCAGGGTGGACTTGATCCTGGCAGTCTCCACTGTCAATCCAACCCTTTAATCACCATACTAGACTGGATTAAAACCCAAGAAAATAGAAAAACTAGAACTAAATTTGAAAAAAAAATTCTTAAAATGAAACTTTGCATCATGTTGTTTAGTTTTACATTTTTCTAA